AAAAATTGTACAAAATATATGCCTCTGGTTAAAATTTAGGTGGCATGTTCTATATTTCTACAAAACAAGATTCAGAAAATTGACTCAAAGGTTGAAGACAACTTTACAAAGTTTTGGTAAAACCTCATGCCGCATTAATCTAATAATGCATCAAGATAAATGCCTAAAGGAGCAATAAAATTCTCTAATATAATTTTTGACTTAGAAGTCCACCAAAGATCTTTGTCAGACCCTACTAAATAGTGTGCTTAGTTCTTGTATGATTCCAGGGAAGTAAGTGTAACATTGTATATGTGGATGTTGACACTGCAAAAGGCCCCGTTAAACTATATTGATTACAGTTTTTTTTTAATAACAAGTATCCTGATTACATGGACACTAATATGATCTATATACCCTAATGGAGGCTAATAAAAATCATAAATTTTTGTAGCTGGAATCAAACAAACTCTTGAAGTCATATGTCTCAACTTTTTTGTTCCATTTATAGCAATTCAAAATAATGCTGCCAAATATAATGGTTAATATAAAAACCTAACCTCGTCCTTGTTATCATCTCCTTTTTCTTCTTTTTCCTCTGCCTCACCTCCCTCCTTTTGAAGAGTAGCACTTGCCATAGGTATTGGTGAAGGTCTCGGAAGAGACCTTACAGCATCACCATATTGGGGCTGCCATCAGAATAAATTAGGGCAAAAGCATTATAAATGAAACAGGTAAAAACAATACTGCATCAAAAATCAAATTAGTATTTTCCCACATTAATGTGCAGTGTGAGCTGCTAAGAAAACAATACATCAGTGCAGTATACAAGTATTCTATCACTGATGACTCCTGTTTGGCCAAAAAACCTAGAAAATTCAGGTAAGCATATGGGCTTTGATTTTCCCATCTTGTTTGGTCCAAAATAATTAAAAACAAATAATTGTGTAAACAAGTTGTGTCTAAATTTTCCCCCCGGGGCACAATAGCTGGCAACCTTATAGTCCATAATCTTTTTCTACTGTAAGAGGACCATTTGGACCATTTTCATGGTACTGATGTGAGACTACTAATGTTGCGGTGGGTCAATTTATCCTAATGAATGTGTACAACATTAATTTTCCAAGTGATCTAGCTGGTAAAGGTAATAACAAGATGTTATATCATATCATATCATATATCCACTGTTGCACATGACCAGATAATTCATTCCTTGAGGCATTAGCAGAGAGTACTGGACACATTCCAAACCATTATTTTAGGGAATGGGTGTCAGCACTCTGGACTTGTTAACAAATGGTACATGGAGTTGTACTTGTGGATTTAGGCTTTTTAAACAACTTGAGTACAAATTTAGGCTTGCAAAAAGATAGAGTACCACATTCTGATAGGATAAAAGCAAAGTATCGAATACAACACAAAACAAATCTCAACCTATGATATGATGCTAACCTGAATTTCTTCAGGAAAACCGTTCCTCAACCATGACCGACAGTGCACATATAGAGAAGCTCCATCTGTCATCCTGACCTGCATAAATAATTCAAAATAATTAATGCCAAACAAATGTATGCGAACTACAGGCAAGTTATATTTTGCATTCTGGTTATCCTACACTTTTGATGAAAGATCGATTAATTCATCTCAGAAAAGATATAATCCAGGTTGTCTTTGTTAAAAAAAAAAAATATTCTCTACTGTTTCTACTGCCATTAGCATTACTTTGATATATAGTTAGCAGTAGAACTACTTACTGAAACTATATTGGACTAAGACATGACATATAGATCATTTTTCACTATAAGTACTATATGTATTTGAAAACTTAACTATATGATTGATGGGGATGGGTTGGATCACATTGTGTAGGGTGTCCATGGGAGGAAGTAAATATCCAAAGATGGGTTGCAGTTTCTAACTAAATTGTGTGTCCTATAACAGGCATCCATGTAAGTCGACCGTGCGCAACTAGAGCACATTATTACATATTTGCAAATGGAACATTCATATGTCTAAAAGGTCATCCTTTGCCTCATAAAATATGTAGAGATGCGCACAGTGCACACACATGCATAGGCACACATGTTATGGGTTTGTAGAATGGCTCTCTCAACCCTTAGATAAATCTTGAATAGATGCCTGCACATTGTTGTGCTCATTCTACACTGCCATCCTATTTAGTAGATATGAATATCAAGAAATAATCCGGACATGCTATCATCAGAAAGGATGATTAAACAACTTCCTTGATGTGAAGGAAAGGGAGGAAGGAATTTAACTGATGGAAAAGAAAGAAAGAACATATATCAGATAGATCCACTCTATCAATCATTCATATAAGTTTGAAGGAAAGAGGAACATCTAATGACATTTTACCATCAAAGCAAACAGGGCAAGAAAGAAAAATATCCATAGCATCACTAAATATTATAAGGTTAACCATCAACTCATTCCAATCCCTCCTATAAAGGGGGAAAATTGATCTTTACAACACCTAAATCATCTCTCATTACAAATAATTCATGTTATGTGTTTTATATGAGTGATTTATGTGACAAACAAAGCACAGTTGCTGATTCACAACCACAAAGCCCTTTACCTAACAATTGGAGTACGAACTGAAAGACAAAGAAACAATGAAATCATAATAATAGAGGGCTGAGTAAGAGAGTAAATGACGGTACAGACTGTTTCTAACTTTCTACCATATTCATTTCCATAAAATGCCAAGCCACCATAAACTCGAAGAACAAAGCAGCATCAATACATGCAGAACCAGTCAGAAAGCAAAGTGCTTTCTTACCTTTCGACCTCTAATGACAGCTAAGTTATCATCTTTGCTTTTATCCCTGCAGAAACACAACAAGAAACAAGTTACAACAGTCCCAAAATTTGAAAAAACAAAAGTCTTATTGCAAATAGAATTAAAATAAACAAATCTTGAGACATTATATCCAACATTACCTCATGTCTTTAAAACCATTGATGTCAGGAACTGAAGATGGAGCAACCTAAACCAGAAAGAAGACACACTGAATAAATCTTCAAATCTTGCATTCAGACTCAACAGACAAATTTTTTTATGTAAACAAAATAACAATAAAACCACAGTAAAAATAATAACTAATGCAAAAATATGTATTCAGGTTGGCATAGAATGTCCAATGGCCAAAAAGTTATAATGTTTCGACTGGCATAATATTCATGTCAAAATCCAAAATTAAATCCATTATCTAGTTTCCCCATTCTGGCTGGCCAGGTTACTCAAAAGTCACATTGCCTACCAAATACTAGAGATATTACTCTTAAGTCATCGACAATACTGAACCTAGTGTTATTCAGACGAGAATGAAAAATAAGCAAGATGAATGCCTAAACTTGACCAGTTCAAGATGTAGACCATTCTTTTGCGACAAGACTTGTGTAAGGCTGCTCACTGAGGAGTTTTTTTTTTTTTTCTTTATTAACCATGGGCAAGGCAAGCATTTGCAAAAGCAAACTAAAGTCTATATTACACCATTAAATCTTTATTCTAATTACATGTTGGAAACACCGCCAATCCAAACGCAAGAATCCTTCAAAGTGCTCAAAATCAAAGCTTCTGATAAAGCATATTTTCCATTATGGACTGAAAGATACTTGGGCAGAAAAAGTAGAAATTTGTACCCATCTTTTTGCTTATTCTATATGTTATTTTCACCTCTTATTTCCCCTAACAAATTCAACCCAATACAAATTTTCGAGATGTGCGCAGTTATGAATTCTACCCATACCTATATGAATCACAAATTACACAACAACAACAACAACAACAACAACAAAGCCTTTTCCCACTAAGTGGGGTCGGCTATGAATCACAAATTACACAAAGAAAAAAAAGCTTCTTTAAGTTAAAGAATACTTTCAAACAACATAACTTGACTGCGGTGTTTGTGTTTGTGTGTAAAAGATGAAGAATCAAAAGAACACCAAAATCCAGACATTGGAACATCAATTAAACCAAGATAAAACTAGAAACCTCAGGAGGAGCAGAGGAAAGGGGAAGGCCCCTAATAGGAGGAGGAAGAGGAGACGGTGCTAAGCTGTAGTTGGGTCTTATCAAATGCACAGGAATAGGCTGCTGAGGAGGGAAATTGAGTAGGGGCCGAGATGGGTACACAGCTCCGGCGTTGGCCACAATGAGTGCGGGTTCACCTCCGGCAGCGGCGGCGGGACGAATGGGCCGAGGAATAAAGCCTCGGCCAGAGGAAGCCAGTGGGTACAAAACCCCCTGATGATTAGCAGCTGCTGGTGCTACTGGTGATGATGATGGCGATTGGGTTCGAATTTGGAGGGATGGGGCTGCATAAAGATTAGAAGGAAGAGGAGATGATACGGCAGGTCTTACCGGTCTCGTCGTGGTTGTGTTGTGTGCGGCGGCTCCGGCTGTGGCCATGTTGGCGGCGGCTGAAGCGGTGGTGTGGTTGGGATCTATGGTCATGGTGGTGTCTGCGGGCAGTGGCGGGGAAATTTGGGAATTTGGTGCGCTTTGGTTTTTAATTTTTGAACGTTTGCTTTTTACGCCCAACGTTTGCATATAATAAACCCCTCAATTTCTCAAACATCCTTTTGTCTTCATCTTATCAAATACAATTTTGCTTTTTCTTTTATGTTTTATTTTCTCTCTACTTTTAGTAGGGTTTTTATGTTTTTTTTTAATGTTTTTTAATCAAAATGATTTGAATAACTTATTACTTTGATCATTGAGATTTGAAATCAATAAAAATGATCCATGAATTTGTTCACCATCAATCATTTTGATCATTTCATAAAAACTTATATTAAATAAGAATCAAAATGATATAAATACTTTCAATTTAATAAACAATGGATTAAATGATTTGATCAAAATGACAAAAATTACTTTCAATTTAATAAATAATAACCCACGCAACCAAAACAAAGGGCCTGGGTTTGAAAGCCCACGTCGAAGCCCAGTCCCAGACTCAAACTCCACTTTATTAGGAGAGGAGGCCCTGAGAATTTGGTGAATCCCGATTCACAACAACAGAAATAAAATGAAATAAAAAAGAAGATAACGCAATTTGAGGAGTCGGAGTCGTCCTAGTCTTCCTAGTCGTCGTCAGACGCCAACTTTGTCCATCTGCAACTCTCTCCGTCTCCGAGTGTGTGTTTGTGTGAAATCATGATCTTTGTTGATGGGCATCTCTCTTCCACAGACTCTTCTGCATCGCCTCAGGTACTCTCTCTCTCCCCCTCCCTATATATATGTGTGTTTGGTTAATGAAAAAAAAATGTGCTGTTACTTGAGAGGATACTAAATGGAAATTTTCAAATTTGGAACAAGTAGATAGTTTGAACTGCTTTTCTTTGTAGTTGCAACTCTGATTGTAGTTGCAACTCTGAGTAAAAACAAATTAAAAAGCTCATTTGATGCTGTAAATTTGTGATCGCATTAATCATGAAACAAATTTGAAATTTGAAAATTCTAGCTTGTTTGTTGTCACACCTTATTTCTGCAAGATGAGTATTATATGAAGTTTATGTTTATTAGATTTACATACATTATTTATACACATAATAATAGGTTACGATCCCGGACACACGCTTTTGACACACTTTTCTCTGGGCCCATTCCTTATGTATTTCAACGATCCAATCGTCTAACTTTTATGTCTTACCTCAAAGATCATGTCTACCAAAACTCATCCAAATCCAAAACCATATGACCGTTGGGTTAAATTAGTGTTTCTTTGTAGAACGGGGTATTCATCCATTTTCTTCACACAAATGAATGTCTTAATGGTTTTGGAATTGTCTAATCTTTGCAAGGATAATCTATGAATGATGTACTAAAATATACACGATTCAAATCGTCGAAATGTATTACAAAGTGGACCCTACAAAATATGTGCCAAAAGCGTGTGTCCCCGGATCGTAACCCATAATAATGAAGTATACCGAAGCTTCAAATAACAACATTTCTGAGAAATATAATCTGGATTGTCTTCTGACGGATGACTTGCTTGCTCAATTCCCCTACTACATTTATAATAGAAATTAAAGCTTGTACTCGTGAATAGGGACGGGATATTCTGGTTGCTCTATTGGAACACCCTGCTTTGGTAGAAGCCTCAGCTTCGTTCAAGGCTATCCCGGAGAGGAGGTTCTCTGTACGTGAAGAGTCAGTTATGGAGGCAACGCCACCCGGTAAATGGGTTTATTTGTTCCAGAGAGAATATGCAACTGTTGATCCGGCATTTGTGGATGTATGTTCTTTCTCTATTCCTTGACTTGAGGCAAACACTTGTCAATATACGGCATGATTTTTTTCTTTCGTATATACAGCGGAGAGACATAATTATAACCTTTTCTTTGCTTAGTTCACTAATTATTATATGATGCCAGTCCAAGAATCTTATGCATGTCGAATGCCTTCATGTGAGGAAAGTGGCATTTGATAGTCCCGCATGTTGAGACCTGTCCTGCTGCTCTTTTCAGCTCTGATATGGGCATCCTTGTGGTGCATTGTGTCACATAACATAGAGACTACATGGGTGAACTAAAATAAAAATTGCATAGGTTGATAGCTATGAGTATAGGTATAGCCTTCCTTATATCTTGTGCAAATTGGAAGTCACCTCATGGTTTATTCATGGCCAACCTGATGGTTCTTAAAGTTATTTATAATATTTTCTGCCTTTAAAGAGAAGGATGTAAGTTAGTCTCCTTGTAAATGTTGATGGTTTTTCTGAAATGGTTGCTACCCATTAACTGATCACTTTCGTGCCATTTGTAGTTGTAGTATCAATAGTACTATTAATTATGCCTTTGCTAAATTCATTTTTTTCTGCTTGGTCTTCCTTGTTAAAAGTTTGTTGGAACTGATGAAGCAACGACCTGTATCGGTGTGGCCATTCGGAATCCGAGAAATGGAATGTAAGAAACGGATTTATTTGAGATGTAAACTATTTTAGATTTTTCCAGTTTTCAAATGGTAATTTCATGTTTGGTCCTAGTTTTTAATAAGAAATGCCATAGATGCCAAAACGAACGCCAAAAATTTTGGACTCCAAGTGGAGTGGTAAATGTGACCGGTTCTAGATCTCTTTTTTTGTAACAAGTAAGACGTTGTCATGTCTTCTACCATGCCATTTGGTGATTGAAGTTAGGAAACTTATGGTGCTCTAGTACTGTTGTTTCTCATTCTCTTTTCAAACTGTAGGACCTCGGTTGCTCATATGGATTCTCCAAACATTGTGGATATGGGTCTGTCCCAGATGTTGTCACTCCTCGTTGACCATAACAAGGACATGGAGTTAGATGTACTTTTTCCTTCACTGAAATGATTTGTCACTTTAATGGTTATATGTTTTGTTGTTGACCTCATAGAATCCAGCATAAATAAAAGAATATTTCATGGTCACAAAATGCAGGTGCATCTAGTCGGTGGATTTGAAGATGTTTCAACTAATGTTTGCCCCAGGATCCTCTTCTTTGTTATTGATTTCCAGATGTGTAGTTATCTACTCAGAAACAGGATACTTTAAGCTGAAATATATTGAACTTTGTGTGCAGCATGGTAACTACAACACTACATCAGAAAGTCAGGAAAACATGGATGGTTATTCCTTTCCTTTAGGTGCCAAAATTGTTGAAACTTTATGGAAGAGACCGGAGAAATTCCATATACGTACTCTCTGCATTCTTGGGCATAACACTAGAAGGGATCCCGAGGGAAACGCGTACCCAAACTTCAATGGGTTCATGGTTAGCCTCAACCCCATGAATTAAACATCAATTTGTTGTATGGCTTATGTTCATCTAAGTCGATTCAAAATGAGATAAATTTTAGTTCTGAAATGAAATGTGAGCCCTTTTCTTTCACTATTAGATTATATAGCATCTGCAGCAAAATATTAAGATAAAATTAATAAGAAATTGTACATGATGCAGCATCATGTATTTTTTTCTACAATTCTATCTTTAGTGTGTGCTCACTGCTCACCTATGAAGTTTACAACGTCGTGTAATGTGTGAGTGAAACTTCTGTTAGATCCTTCATATTGTAGAGATTTTCGCACTCTTTCAGGTAGGAACTTCCAACGGATCTATTACCCCAGCTATCTTTGACAAAACCTCAAGATGTCCTGATGAAGTTGTCAGGAGAATTCGAGTTTCTGTATCATACAAGGACCCTAGTTGGAAGGGAAAGTTACTGGAAACATATGATACTCAAACTGATCGATTCAAGATAGCTCCATGTTGCTGGTAAGTGTTACTTCATCGATTATCCCTTCAACTTTTAATTACTCTACAAAATCTCTTCGCTTCTTTTAAAGTTGTGCTCAACTATGCCAGCACCATCGACCTCACATATATATTTTCTGTTCATGCAGGACACTGCAGCAGTTACACTTTGCTTTATCATTACAACGTTATTCTGATTCAGAAATCCTCATCATGTGTTCTACTTCACCTTCTGCTGAGAACCCAGATTTTGTGGCGAATATGAGAAGGTACGCACAATCAAAGGTAGACCTGTCTTACTGTTGTTGGTGATCACATATACACATAATTTTTTTTTAGAAAATAAATAAAGAAAAGAGGATGTTTCCGCATATAAAAGAAGAAAGAATACAAGATTGACGAGGAACTCCACAAGAAGTTGATCAAATTAGGTGCATTGAAGTTTTTCTTGTTTCTGGCTTGTGGCATCATAAGCTATAGTCAAGCCCCTTACACATTTGCAATTCGTAGAAATAGTTTGATGTTCATCCTGTAGAGTAATGTTAATTTTCAAATATTGCTTTAACTGAATTTGGTAATCTTGATTTAGGCATTGGGACTACCTAATCAAACACCCAGATTGGAGAGAAACCTTTCCTATGAAGCAGCCACGCATATTTGAGAGGACTGCCGAAGGAGGCTGGAGAAAGCCACAAGGTGCTGATACATTAATCAGTAGGAGTTTCTAGTTATTTTGCAACCTTCCCATGTCTCTAATTCGTAAGTCCCCCATTTATTGGCAAACCAACTCAATCATTATAGATGACCATGCAGCAAATTGGAACTATCATGTTCTCAGCCTTTAAAAGAAGGGTGTAAGTTGGTAACTCGTCGCAGTGTTAGCTGTTTTTGTTGGCGATTGCTTGTTGATAACTGAATACTTATGTGGCAACTGAAGGATCTGGTTGATAACTATATTGTTTTTCGTTTTTAATTTTCACTTTTTGCGCTTGAGATGTGAGAAAAGGTAAGGAAAAGTAAGAAGGGTGGTGGAAGGAAGGGGAATAAATAAAGTGAATGAAAACAAAGTATTGAAAGTGAGAACAACTTAAAATAGTTACCATTTGATAACAACTTGTTTAGTTTTAAAATTATCACATGTTTTCTTGACCCCCTCTTTTAACATTGAAAGAACCCAACAGTGGGTGCAAATCAGTCGAGACTTAATGTGAGACGATTGCTCACCAATTCCAACTCCACACTCGCAGCGATCACTGCAAACCCACGTCAAATTTTAGGGTTCTTCTTGATGTGATTGCTACTCTAAGCTAGGAAGATTTTAACTAGAGACACAGAAGGTTAAAGAGGACAACCCTATCAATTAGGGTAAGGTAATTCTTCACTTGCAAAGCCTATTTACATAATTTCATAGGCATATATGTATTATAAGGGAATAATAACAGCTTCTTGTTGCCTTGTACATAACTTTATTAGAAGGGAGATGTCCGCTGAGCTCTTGTTCTAATAATTTTCGCCTACCGCCGCCTACATCCCGCCTAATCCCCTGAGGATTGAGCATGTATCAGCAACAAGGGAACAAGGCATGACAACAACATTGAGACATATAGTACAAGTATGCGCGTGCGTATCATAAGCGAATGTACTACCAAAACTATGATAGAGCCACAAAGCAAATAAAATAAAGAGAGAAAAAAATTGAGCCACAAAGCAAAGTGGGTAGAGACCTTGAATGAGGAATACGACGAAATGCGGAACAAAATCCGAAGTTGACAAAAGCACCCATTTTTCCAAGGGGTTAATTGGGCATTGTTGAGGTGTACACCTCCACCATTTATTCCCCCACCATTCGGTAGACGAGTTGTACCAGATCAAAGTTGTACCGAGAAAAATGGGGTCCCCTTCGGAAGTCCTAAAAAGCCACTTACTTGACTTCTAGTGCTCTCAAGAGAGAAAAAAAAGTTGTTTCTTCTGCTGTGATAAGAGAATAAGCAGCTGTAAAATAAAGCAGCAGGTAAATTTTTTTGTAAAAGTATTTTTGAAAAAAAAAAGTCAGTATTATAGTGTTTGGTAAAATTTTATGTAAAACATATGTGAAAAAAAGCCCATTTTTTAAAGCTGGGTTTGCAGCTTCTTGTTTTTTAACTTTTTTCATTCAAAACTGTGAAAAAAAACTAAAACTGAAACTGAATATTTACCAAACACAAAAATAACTCCCAACTTTTTATTATACCAGGTTTTTTTTAGAATCATCGCATATCAAACCAGGCATTCGCCTTTGACTTCAGGGTCGGTGGCATCCCTTTTTCCTGTTTTCATTCTTCTCTTCTTCCCTATTTCTTTATCCATGGTTTCTTTTGAACTTCATCTCAGCTCTCTGAGCTTTTGTCTCAGTTCATTCCTTCCTCTCCTTAATCCCCCAATCTTTTCCAACCCATAACCATGAATTAGATCTCGGAGTGTTGGACTCCATATTGACACAAGAAGACCCACACTCGTAGTCGTAGGCCACTGCCCATCCGGCTCGCCGGAAAAATTGGGCCAAGTGTGGAACTATTCACGTCAGAACAAGGGTGATTCTTGGTGTGGCTCTGGAGTTTGTGGTTCTTGGTGTATTGATTCTGCTAAACACTCTCATATCTATTTTCTCTTTAGTTTGGGGCGCAGAGAATGCGGCGCAGTGGACGCTGGTATTTGTTGCTTTAGTTTAAGGTTCATTTTGCGTTTGTCTTTTATTGTTGCCTACGGGCTTAAATTTGTTGGGCCTCTTTTTAAGTCCAGTCGTGGGCCGTACCGTGGAGGGTTGAGGCCTCAGCTTTGGTAAAGAATCCGAGTCCAACAATCCAAGTGAGTAATTGAAGACCAAGTCCAAATCCAAGGGCCATACGTAAAAGAGAAGAATCAGAATTCAGAAGATTGTGTGAACAAGGACACTTTGGTCAATTTCCATTTATCCATTCCTCCTCTACCTATTTTCCAGTTGCGTGCTCGAGACCGACTCCCTCTCTAACCCTATTTCTATACAATACAATTATATTATATAAACACATAATAGCATATAATTTACCCAATCTAACAACACCATGTTTGTTTTAGTTTAACTACCCTTTTTGCCTATTTGAACAGCCTCATTTAATCTTATATTTTTTTTATAAGAATTAAATCGTGTGACAATTCATTCTTTTTTATTTTATTATTTATTGTTTTATTTATTTTTATTTTATGTTATTTATTTTCACTAAAATATGTGTGGGTTTTTATTTTGTTTATTTTTTTTTTCAAAATTATAATGAAAGAAAGACGATTTAGATATTATGAAAAGCTTTACTTTTTGTATTTTTTTTCTCCATGAGTATATATGGGATTAGGTAGCCCTTTAATTTAATTAATTGACTATTTAAACCTACACTCCAAAATAAAATTACAAAAAAGTATAAAGAAGGGTGCGGTGGTGCTAATATTTGAAAGCACAAAATGGAGGGATGAGAATGAAATATTGAAATCAAATTAAACCAAACCAAAATATGAACGATATAAAAAGCACAGCAGGCTCCAATCCACAATCCAACCCCATAAACGTCACCATGAAAGGTGGCGCTGCCACTGGCGGCACTCCTAGTTTCAACAACAACAACATTACTACTACTAGTGACCAAACGACGACGTCTACGTCCTCCTGGGGCACGTGGGAGGAGCTCCTGCTAGCATGCGCCGTCAAGCGCTACGGCATCCACGACTGGGACACCGTCGCCATGGAACTCCAAGCCAAGACCTCTCTCCCTCCCCTCCTCACCACCGCCTCCAACTGCAAGCTCAAGTACCTCGACCTCCGCCGTCGTTTCCGCTCCCGCCACCAAAACGACGACGTCCCTCCAGACGCCGACGACAATCACCACGATCCTCATAACAATAATACTAACAATATTCCCTGGCTCGACGACCTCCGCAAACTCCGCGTCGCCCAGCTCCGTCAAGAGCTCCATCGCTACGACGTCTCTATCGTGTAATTCTTTTTATTTTTCATTTTTTTTATATTTAAATTTTACGTAAATTTTTAGATCTGAGTCGGAGCGACTTGTTTTGATTGAATTGGATTAATTTGGCAGGTCGTTGCAGTTGAAGGTGAAGAGGTTGGAGGAGGAGAGAGAAGAGAGCTTCAAAGACGACGACCCCAAACCAGATCTGGAGGACCAGCAGCAGCAGGACTCCAATCGACACAGATCAGAAAACGACAAAACAGTTCAAGGCGAACCGGACGGGTCGAAACCGGACCACGAGAACCAGTCGGTGAACGGCTCCAATTCGACCTGCTCCAAAAACCTGGACCACGACAACAAGTCCGGTCCAGAAGATCGCGCTCTCTCTGAACCGGGCCTGCTCCCAGCCGCTTCCGCTGAACCTTCCAAAAGGACGGGGAGTGGGCAGTCGGATTCGGACTCGGACAAAGGAAGCTCGGAAACGGTGGCAAAGAACCGGAAGGAACCGGGCCGGCAAGGGAAAGGTGGGGGCGATTCGGCGGATAAGATGAGGGAGAGCAGCGAGGCGCAGAGTTCGGTTAGCTTAACGAAAAAATGGAACGGCAAACGACGCCGTATAATGGAGGTCCCAGAGGAGCAGCAGCAGCACAATAACGGAGATGTATCGTTGGTGAAATCACAGCCGTTGGTTGAGGTGTTGCAGTTGATACGTGCGCAAGAGCATGGCTCGTTGTTCGAGCGACGGCTTCCGGCCCAGGTATTTTTTTTTCTTATTTCTTTATTTGTGTGTATTTACTTTTTACCGAGTTTTACCAATCCACCTAGGCTAGTAAATAATAAACTTAAATCGGAAGCACGTAGGATGAGTTTGAACGAGTCGGGTGAATGTGTCATGTAATTTCATAACGAAAAACGGAGAGGATTCCTTTCATTAAATTTATCTAATCATCTAATTTGGGTTCTCGAAATTTGATCAAATGGTTAAAATTAGTATAACTTTTAAAATAGTCTATATTTTTAATCGTTTGATCAAATTTCAAAGGTCCGAATTTGTTGATTGGGTAGATTTTGTAGAAGGGATCCGCTAAGAATCCTTTTCCCGAAGAACACCATCTCTGCCAGATCTACCAAACATGCATGCACCAAAACGAAAGCAAGATAGTAGCCACAAAAAACAAAAAAAAACAAATTTGTTCTAATCAAAATCTAATTGAATTTTGTAATAAAATTTAGTGCGTATAATTTCGAGATAAAAAGGGTGTTATGGTTACTATGGGACAACAAGTGGTCATGATGTTTCAAAAAATTGGGGACCACTCCAACAAAAATGGTTTTTGTTGTTGGTTTGAGGGAAGTAGGTTGAAAAATACGCATGAGGCTGGAAATGGTTGCTGCTATGCTAGCCCTACGGCCAGGAGTCTAGGTTTTTGCAGCAAACTCTCTAAAATGCTATTGGCTACATGCATTTTTGTTAAGATATTTACACACTTACGCTCTATTATAAAAATCCTTGTCTAGAGCCGTCTAGGTTCCGTCTAGACGTTAGGCGGCTCGTCATTGTTCCGATTAATGTTTAGACGTTTGAAAATTAAGAAATGACATATAAAACTGCTGAGGTGCCCGCCTATGTACTTGCCTAACCCACCCAAATCCGTTTAGACACCCACCTAGGTTACGACTCATTTAGACAGAAAATAGATAACTTTTATTTTTTATTTTATTTTTTTTAATAAATTGTAAAAAACTTGTTGTATACTTAAATGAACTCATATTATATCCTTGTTTCTCATGTTTCATTATGGTCAAATACTTCATAATACATATGTCATTCTATTTTGTAGTTTATAATAAAATTATATATATTTTAAGTTTAAGCAGATACTTATTTACACGAAATATAACCTAGTATAAATATTTTAAGTCTAGGAGGTTAGGCCTCAGCCTATCGTCCGACTAGCGCCTAACGTCTTTAAGAACCTTACTTTTATGAATTAAAACCTAGTATAAATAATATTTTCA